TTTTTTAAAATGTCTCAGGAAATTATCAAGAAGGTTCGTCAGTCTTATACCTTTAAAGAGAAAGCCAATATCGTTCGGTATGCTCTTCGTGAAAGCAATCTTAAGGCCGCTGCCAAGTTTGGTTTAGATAAGACTCAAGTTGGTCATTGGGTAATGAAGTTAAAAGATAAACTTGATGAGATTGATCATAGCAAATCTTGTCATCTTGAAGGCGGTGGTAGAAAAAGGTTTTTTCCTGACGAAGAAGCGTAGCTTTATAGGTGAATGTCTGAAATGCATAGTGCAGCTCTTGCTGTAACATACAATAGTCTCAAGTTTGAAATATTAAGAATCATCTCTGAAGTGGCATCAAAAAGTAATGATCTCAAAAAAAAACAACTTGCAAGTAACTTCAAAGCATCCTCAATGTGGTTAAAACATTTTTTAAAGCATCATAATCTTGCCTTATACCGCAAAACGAAAATGCACAAAAAATGCCTACTGATCTTGAGCAGCAATTGCTCGATTTTCAATGATATGTAATTCGGTTATGCCTTAAGAGAGACTACCTCCTGAGCAATATCGCAAACATAGACGAGACTCCCATCTGGTTTGACATGGCTGGTGATCTGACTGTTGAACAAATTGATGTCAAAACAGTCTATATACGTACAACTGGTAATGAAAAGAATCGCTTTACTGTAGTTTTGATGTGCTTTGCTGATAGACAAAAGCTCCCACCCACAGTTATATTCAAGAGCCAAAGGTGGGCTAAGACTAAGGCTTCTCCTCCTCCCGGTGTAATTATTTTTTTTCATGAAAAAGGCTGGATAGATAAACCTGGTATGTTATTATGGACCAATAATTATATAGCAAATTGTTCAAGTGGTCAGGAAAATGAACCTTCTCTTCTTGTCTTTGATTCATTCAGAGCACATATTACTGATGCAGTTAAAAAGAAGCTTTAAGAGAATAACAATGACCTTGTTGTAATTCCCAGTGGGTTAACTTCTGTGTACCAACCGCTTAATGTTTCAATCAACCGCCCCTTCAAAGTAGCACTTCGTAACCACTGCCATAAATGGATGACAAATAGTGGGTCTGGCAAAACTAAAAAAGGAAACTTTAAATGTGCCGAACTACATATAGTTTGTGAATGGGTACTTGCTGCATGGCAGAAATTGATCCTGAGATTATTCGCCGTGCCTTTCGCAAGTGCTCTATTTCTAATGCTATGAATGGATTAGAGGATAGTGAGATATATCATGATGAAATCCTTGATAATACTAATGAAGCTAATGAAAATAATCCTGATATGGATTCTGATGATTTAGGTGAAAATGAGGAAGATTTTGAGTATAAAGAAAATCATGATGCAACAATTGAAGAAAATGAGGATGTTCTTCTTTTTACAATAGATTAATATAGAATGTATGATTCAAAGATTTACAGTCATTTAATAAAGTTTAACGATTATGCTTTATTGCAAAATATCGTAAGTTTGTGAATATGATCTTGTAATATAAAGTAAGCATAGAAATAAATTATGATCCAGTAATCAGAATATTGATTTTTATGCCACTCAATTCTTCGTAACAAGAAGAATTGAGTGGTAAAAAATCGCTATTATGATCACTATATGATGTAATATTCGTACTATAAAAATATTTTATTTGAAATCACTTCCAGAAAAATGTGCATTCTGTGCATAAATTAATAACTTATGCGGGTTTATCGCATTTTACAAAAGTTTTTGTACACGAAACTTATATAAATCAGTGAAATCCCATTTCTAGTCTGAAGGCATATCGATATATTATGCGAAATAAATGTTCAAATTGTTATCTAATTGGGAATTGTTTAAATAAAGTCATGATCTATATATTAAGTTGTCTATTAATAGTATCTTTGATGGCCCGGTTCAAATAAATTCTTGATTGTGCTAAAAAAAAAAGGCATTTTTATTGGTTCTGAACCAAAATTCTAGGTTCGGATAATTTGTATAAAGGTACTCAAATCAGGGGTAGCTTATATTTGGTAACTAACAATTTATTTTATTTTTCTCATTTTTTGCACTCAAAAAGTGGGAGTAGCTTTTATTCGGGAGTAGCTTCTATTCGGTAATATACGGTAGTTTAGAATAGAAGGAAATATGAAAATATATAGAAGAAGTTAAGAGTAATTGTTTAGATGGAGTTTGAGCTCTATAGCTTAGCGGTTAAGCTGCCAAACCCCCACAGACTAGGTCGATGGTTCGAGTCAGGCTGGAGGCAAAATCTTAGGATTTTTAGCTTCTGTAACCTAATAAGGGGGCCATAATCGAACGCGGAGCCCTGTGGTTAAGTCCAAGTGCAAGTACGAAACTAGAAAAGGAAATTACCGAAAGGAGGTACAATCATAGAGTGGTGGCACTACGTATAATAGGTCATGGAAAGTACTGTTACATGAAGGTTGCATATATTAGTACTTGATTAGAGGTGACTAGGCAGCATCAACATCCCCAGTAGTTAGAGTACTTGATTGGAAGAGTGACACGATGGTAACAAAACTGGAGTAGTGAGAAAAGTGGTGAACACGAGAACGACTTATGGTAAAGGATTGGTCCATTTGGAGTTCGGAAACACCTCTGGCTTCAAACCACTTGGCCTATTAAGGAAGAAACCTATAAGGACAGAGCGAGAAGGCTGAAACTCGGGGTATATGATAAAAACTCAAAATAGCTAGATTCACCGGGCTGATAGTACAATTATACAAATCAGGCTTGTATACCAGAAATTGATAAGGAACACCAAACACTAAAATTGGAAGTATTACAGACCGCAAGCTGCAATTAGGTCTAAACCCCTAGAGCTTTGTAACCTAAAATGTCAGGGCACCGGAACACTATAGCTCAAACTATAGAAGAGAAGTAATACGAAACCCGCAATCTGGAAGTTATGGGATAACCTATAATGCAATATAGCGAGCCTGCACCAACATACGGGAGTACTTACCTATAAGGTAATGGGAATCAGCAGCATATTAACTAAACTAGGCGTTAATGACGAGGCTTAACCTGGGCCAGCATAAGTTTCTCTTCATGATACTACCTGGGCAGACTAGCTGAAGATAACCAAGATTGAAAGTAGCCCTTGAGGCTACGAGGCCATATCCCAAAAGGGACTACCAAATTTGGGAGCTTAGGTATAAGTAGTATGAGAAATGCGGAGAATGATATCATAGGGAAGTGTACCAAAATAGGACTAGTGAAGAGTGAAAAAATATTGGGTAAGTGCTATCCATAAGGATGTATCGCTGCGGTAGATTTGGATCGCAGATAATGGATTGGTGGCTAGATAGCAGATAGGGACACCTATCATGCAAGTGATGGTTTCGGCCAAAGCATAGATAACCAATAGAATCTGAGTCTAAGCTTGGTGTACTTGATATATGTAAATATGAAAATGTAATAATACATGTAATGAAAGTATTAACAATAAATAAAGTCATGGGCAAGATCCCACCTGAATACCAAAAAAAAAAAAAAACTAATTGTTTTTTTTTTTTTTTTTTTTAATCTTCAAAGGTGAGGCCATAAAAAACTAATTGTTTAGATAGCTATAAATAGATATTTAGAATGAAATGTTTAAACAAAGTACTGCCAACAATGACTGGGCTAAAATCAAAAAAACCAGATCTGTACAAAACTAACAAGTATACCATTTGCTAAGAAAAGCTAGAAACAATAGACTACTTAACACGCTGCAAAGATTATCAAGGCATATAAAGTATAATAGAAGAAGAAACATATAACTAAATAGAGAAAATCATAAAGAAAAAAGAACTTTTTAAAAGAATACCAACTAGAGCTACAATTAAAGAAATCATTTTTAGCACAATTAACGCAGAACAGATAGAAGCAAGAATTCATATAATTAGAGATTTAATTAAGAGAAAACAAAAACAAAAAATAGAGAATATACTCCAAAACAAAAAAGCAGCCAGCAAGATAATAAGTGTAGCACTTAATAAGTTGGATGAAAGATTCTATCAACACATCTGGAACTTTAGATATGAGTTATAAATAGAATGAGAAAAAAGAGAAGGAATCTCAAAAAAGAATAAAAAGATGAAAAGTGTAGCAAGAAAAAGAAGAAAAAAAAAAAGAAAAAAAAAAAACAGGAAAATAAAGAAAATCAAAAACAAACAGAAGAGCAAAAAAATAAAAAGAAAGAATATACAAGAGTAGCAGCATTTAAAAATATAGAAATTTAGTATGAGATAGTAAGAAACTGAATTAGTTTTCATAAATAAAATATAAAGTTAAAGCAAACACAGAAAATGAGGTTCAATAGAGAATCTCTCTATTGCTATCTATTTTTGGCTTCAAAAGAGATCAATAGGGTATTGATTAAAGTAATAGTAAACTCAATAGAATACTAACAAGATACCAATAGAGTACTAATAGGGTATCAATAGGATCAATAAAGTTTTTACTGATTGAAACTATTTAGTTAATAGCTACCAATCGTGACTAATAAGGTATCAATAGGGTACTAATAGAGTCAATAGGGTTTTAAAAAAATGTTCAAATATTATTAAAAAAATTTGGCTTTAAAATTTAATAAAGATACTGTTGGCCCTTCCAAAACTGATCTTGTCAAAACTAATAATCTACTATAAATGATTAAAATTTGATCCACTATATCAGTTCTATAAGTAATATCTAATAACCTATTATTTTTGATATCTAATAGCCAATTTATTTAAGTTTTCAATATTACTAAACTATTCTTCATTTTGGTTTAAACTAATGCTAAAAATTGTAAGATTGTTGAAATATTATCACGATCATTCACAGAAAATATATAGAGTATATAATTATTTTCAGATCTTTTTTTGAATATTATCAGTTACACTGCTTTAAAAATCATGTTTGTTTTTGCTTGTTTGATCAACAACAATAAGCTCTAAATGAATATCTATTCTAATTAGCAGTTTCAACTTAGTATTGCATCTAAAAGTTTACAAATTTGCTGGACACCATACACAAATAATTTTCTTAAATTACATATATTTAGTTTTATAATAAATATATACAGATTTATTCTAAGAATGTCTTCTAGTTTCATATTGATAAAAATCTCTAACATAAAGATAAATTATTCTATTAGTATTTCTATTTTTAACTGATTTTTATCAATTAAATTTGTATTATTTTGGAAAGGAATGAGGTTTTGAAAGTTTATTATTAATACGCACTAATTTTTAAATTTTAAAATAGACAACAGATTAGTACATAGCTATTACATTTACTAGGTATTCTTATATATATTTTGTAAGTTACTAATAGATTTGAATTCAATATAGTTTTATAATGCCTTATGATTTAACTGATTTAAAAATTAATGAACTTGAACAAGTAAAATGCATTTTCAAGAAGTCTTAAAAATTAAAGCCTTTGCTATATAGATTAACAAAAAAAAAATAAATAAAAAATAAAATCTAATCCCGATTGAAATTTCGAATGTTATTTAATGCAAAATAAAAAATTATCTTTGTGGAGCCTTAGTAATTTAAGTACTGTTGAATTTTTAGAACTTTGAGCAAAGTTTTTCTAATCAAATTCGATAAAAATTTTTTATTTTAATTATATGAAATGTGAAGAAATAAAATAAAAAAATTTTTATTCAATTTGGTTAGAAAGTTATTGAGAAAACTTTTCTCAAAGTTTTAAAAATTTTAATTTACTGATAGACAGATCAGTTCTTTCTAAAATTAAATGAAGTTTCTCGATAACTACCTAACAAAATTCAATAAATTTTTTTTAATCCTACATATTTTTAAAATTAATTTTGATTGATTAAGCATCTTTAGATTGTCAATAAGCATTACGTAATCTATTGCAAAAATAATAAATGCACTTATAGTCATATGAGACTCAGCCAATCAAATTAATGATAAATCAATCTAAGGATACTTAATCAATTAAAATTAATTTTAAAAATATATCAAATATAGAATTAAAAAAATTCATCAAATTTTGTAAGGTAGTTATTAAGAAACTTTGTTTAATTTTAGAAAGCACTGATCCGTTTATCAGTAAATTAAATTTTTTAAAACTTTGAGAGAAGTTTTCTTGATAACTTTCTAATCAAATTAAATAAAAATTTTTTTATTCTATTTCTCCACATTTCATATGATTAAAATTAAAAATTTTTATTGAATTCGATCAGAAAAACTTTGCTCAAAGTTTTAAAAATTTAACAGTACTTAAATTACTAAGGCTTTACAAAGATAATTTTTTGTTTTGCATTAAATGACATTTGAAATTTTGATTGAGGTTAGATTTTTATTTTTTTTTGTTAATCTATATAGCAAAGTCTTTAATTTCTAAAGTTTTTTAAAAACACATTTTACTTATTCAAGTTCATTAACTTTTAA